TCCTCTTCCCACCCTCATCCCTGACAGACCCTACTTAACCCCTAAACCCAGGCCAGTGGCCCTCCTTCCAGGGGTCCAGGGCCAGCCAGAAGTGCCCGTGAAACTCCTACCCACAGTTATAGCCACAAGCCTGCCTCCTCCCGCCCTACCAGCATATGAGTTCCCAGAGGGTTGGGACAGTCCCATGTCCCCATGTCCCAGCTCCCCACACGGTGCTGGGCCAGAGGGGCATTGGTGCGAGGGATTGAATAAAGGAACAAATGAATGGCTGCCCCTCACTGACTCCAGTTATGAGCCCCCAGGATCCTCCCAGGTTGGGGGGAGGAGGAAAGTGCTGGGGGCTCCTTGCTGGGGTGGGCTTTCCCAAGCCAGCTTCCCTGCCCCATGTACCAGGCCAGAGTGGCTGCTGTTTCCAGCCCCAGTTGTGGGCCCGGTGCTGTGCTGGGCACCTCAAAGCATCATTTCACTTCACATTTTCCTGAACTCTGAAGGGCAAACATTACCCCATTTTACAGATGAAGAAACTGAGGCTTGAAAAACCTGTTGGCCCATGACACTCAGCTATGTGGGGGCAGTATCAGGATTTAAACCCTTCAGTAGGCCACCAGAGCCCCACTCTGGCCACAATACCCCAGACTCCCCCAACCCAGCCTCACTATCTGGGTGTCCAGTAACTCTCCTGGAGGCAGCGACAAGGCCAGGGGCCCACAGTGTCCATGAGCATGGCTCGTGGAGAAATGCAGTGCAGTACACACAGAGGTCGGGGTGCAGGCGGGAGCCATTTGCTACCCAAGCAGGTCCCTGCTAGCCTAGCTAGTCACCTGCACCACCCCAGGGCCATGCTCAGATGGTCTCTGGGTCCACCTGTGCATGCATTTATGCTTCCAGGCACCTCCACTGAGCGCTGTGCCCCCCACCCAACACACACACATTAGCTATGTGTGCACACTTGCCCACATGCACGTGCACACACACAGGGTTGGGAAAACAGAAAGCAGCTCTTTGTCCCCACAGGAATGGGGTCACTGCTTGGCCTGGTCTTGTCAGCTGCAGCTCCTGGGCCTCTGGGGGGCCATGTACTCCAGCTATCTACCTATGGTCACCCCTCAGTAAAGAACCACAAGCAGGGATCCTGCTTGTGAAGATGCCTGAATACTAGGTCATCTCAGTCTGCCCTGGACTTCTTGTCTTTTGTCTATCTGCTGCCCAGCTGAGGCCCAGTGGCTTTTCTTACCCTCGAACAGCATTCTTGAGACCTTAGGGTTTCCAGAAGCTTCTGGAAGGTAGAACCCAGGGCTGGTGGGAGATGGCCCCCTCCTGTCTTCTGGGATATCCCTCCAGCTCACCCAGTGGGTCTGGGCTACCCCTCTGCCCACATCCTGAGGTTTGAAGCACCTGATGGCCCATGACACTCAGCTAAGTGAGGGCAGTATCAGGATTTAAACCGTCAGCAGGCCTCCAGAGCCCCACCTGGCCACATCACCAGGGCACAAGAACTCTCTGCTTCCAAACTAAGTCACCCCCCCTCGATTAACTCAAGAGGCCCTGGAAGCTGGGAGGGCCCAGGGCCCTGTCCCTCTGGGGAGTGAACAGCCTCACCATGGCCAAGTGGGTGTCAGCGAAGGGAAAAGGGCCTCCCTCAGCAGCAGCCACAAGCCCACCAGAATGGCAAGCTTTTGCTTGGGACACACTATGTTCTGATGCCCACCACAGGAGCTCCAACCTCAGAAGCTGTGAGGACACCCTGAGATGGAGGAGCCAAGGGAAAAAAGAACCCATAACCACCCCATCGTCTCATCCCCATGGCAGTAGAGACCTCAGGCAGCAAGGATGAGGAAAGTGGCTCAGGACCAACTTTGTCCATTCTCCTGCCTCCAGCCAAGCCCACAGCTCACCCAGAAGGAAGTATGGGAAGAGGCAGCACCAAGCCCCAGGAGCTCCAGATCTGCCTTCAAGAAGGGGCTTCTAACCAGAAGAGCTGGGCACTGGCTGGGCTAGTGTTCCTCCTCCTGGGTGCTTGCATGATGAGGGCAGGTCTGTGAACTCCTTCCCCAAACCCCTGTCCTTCAGAGCCCTGAGGTGGAATCTCCTAACACATCCCTGTGAAGACCACCCACCAAGGAGCCAGGACGCCTGGAATCTCAGCCACCATCAGGCCCTGGACATACCATCAGGGACTGTCTGGGACACTACTGGGGTCACTGCCAGGCCAGCCACACCCTGAGGAGCTTAGCTCAGGCCCAGGTGCTAAGTTCAACATCAGTGGCACAAGATGATACACTGAGAAGCAGGTGACCATCTCTTACTGATGGGTAAACTGAGTCAATGGCTGACTCCAGGAATCTGTCCTCTTATAACCAAGCCCTTGAATGACGGGAACCCTGAGCCACCTTATGCAGAGGGAAAGACAAGTCTCACAGTCATATGGCAACCAGCAGGACTGGGGTCCATTCGTCCAACTCCTGGACTGCCCCTCTTCCTGCCCCCCTACCTGATAGGCTGTCCCCTCTCTTGTTTAGGGTCATTCTAGAAATTTCTGAGGTAAGGATATTCCTTCCCTTCCTAACACCAAGGAACCCTACCTGCCTGTCTTTATTTCTTTGGCTAGTCGTGATGGGAGGAGGGGAATCCGAGCCAAGTCTCTATCCCTTGGTCAGAAAGAATAGCGACAGAGAGATTGTAACCCAGAGATTCTAATCACCAACCCAAGGACAGGATGTCCTAGCAAGATTGCACCAAACCAGGGCCTCTACCAGACTCCCACAGCAGCTTAGAGCTGACCTCAATGATGCTGACTTTGGCTCTGAGACTGTGAGCAGTTGGGGGACAAGCAGGGCCTGAGCCTCACCCCTAGGTGGCTGGATCAGAAGGGCAAGGAGGGGCTGAGTTCATGCAAACCCACACCTGGGGCTCTGCTCTCTCACCCTTGTTAGGACTTTTCAGGAGGAATCTCAAGAGGTCCTAGGGGGCACCATGGTGGGGAGGGTCCTATGACAAAAGCTTCCTTCAGGGATGGAGAGAAGGAAGAGAAGTAGATGAGGCTGACCTCACCTCTAGAGACAAGTGGAGGCTGCTCAGGTCAGGACCTGCCACTCCCACTAAGGGATGCTCCCCAGCTGAAGGGTGGGGCTCCTGCAGGCATGGAGGCAGCCAGGCCTAAAGAGGGACTAGGCTTTTGAACTGCAAAATGCTGCCAGGATGAGTTGGCCAACAGCCAGAGCCCCCTGCAGACGAAGATCAAGATGCAGAATCGGGCAGTGGAGACGGATGGCAAGCCAAAGGTGTGAGGAAGGCTTGCGGAGTGGATGGCTGAGAAGCCGATCGAGGGAGGAGTCCTGAGTGACACAGCAAGGTTGAGCAACGCCCCATGACTGCCACCCTCAAGGTCCATACCCCGCCTCGCTCTCCCCTCCTGACGATCCTGCACATGTGGGTATCTGTCCCTTGCGACTGAAAACTTAAAATACAAACCCAGCTCTTAACACATCCATCTGGACCACGGACTTGTTAGGGTCTCCACCAACAAGTAAACACGGTGGACAGGGTGGCCAGCACTCCTTCCACCTTCAGTCCCAGTAGCTGCCCACAGTCAACCAGAGTGGACTTGGGGGCAGGAAGGGTACCAGGGTCCAAATCCCAAGAGAGGAAAGAGAAAGAACACAGATTCTAGAGTCAGGCAGAACTGGAGGCCACTTAGACTCAGTCACTCATTCACCTCAAGACCTGGGAGCAGCCACTGAAGAAGGTCTCCAAGGCCAGGAATCCCCTCCTCCCTCCAAGGGCTGCTGAAGGATGAGGCAGCATCTGTCCCACACCCAGGTCAGTGCCCGGCACACATGCCCCAAGGTATGAGTCCATTAGCCATCGGGGGCAACCAAGGTCTCCAGAGATCTGCCTGTCTTCCTGAGAAGCTAAGGTCTGTGAACCTGCCAGAGACCAGCCACATTTCCTGCCTGGTCCTCAGCCCAGCAGGGACACAGGACACAGGATGCTGTGAGACAAAAACAAGTCATCCCAGGAACCCAAAGCTACGCTCAGCCCAAAAGTTCGGGAGCGACTTACCAGCTCTCAGCCCAAGCCCAAAGCCAGGATCTAACAGCACCCACCCCAAAAAAACTGCACAGGACCGTTGGAATTTGGAAAGTTTTTGTTTTCTTTTTCCCACACATTTCCGGGGTTGGGGTGTTTTCCAAGACTCAGACACATTTGTTAACAAAGAGAGCAAAAAAACTGGGGGAGCAGAGAGCCCGTGGGCAGAGAAGTGACCCCAGCAGTCTGTGGACAACACCTTGCTCCCTTTTTGCTGCTGCCCGCGCCCAGCGGGTGCCACAGGCTGCTGCTCGTGGAATCTAGAGTATTTGTCTGTAATATATATCTGCATTTGCCTTTCCCCTCCCTCCCACCCCCCACCCCTGCTCCTCCAGCAGCTTCCCCATCAATGCACATCGCCCGGCGGCACACACAGAACAGGCCTTCAGCCAGGCCTGAGCCCCTTCCCTGGGCGGCACCAAGCAGGTGCCTCTCCTGGTGAGGGGAGTTGGGGCACTTGGGGACATGCCCACTGCCCCACCCCACCCACCCACTGGGCCACTCGGGCCCACCCTCCCACCAACTCTGGAAACCCAAAGGGAGGAAAGGAAGGGAGAAACCAGACACACACAAAAAAAAGTGGGGAAGGAAGGTGGGGACAGTGAGACACAGCAAGCCTGGGATGGGGACTGGAGGGCTTGGAAAGAGAAGGAAGGCAGGAGGGACAGAAGGAGGAAGAAGAAAAATTGAGGAAAATTAACAGGACGAGTAGTGGACACTTTACAAAACCCCCAGCCTTCCTTCCCACCCAACCCCACCAAAATAAAACTACGCCCCTTAAAAAAATAAATCAACCCAGGGCTGTAAGCACGTGCCCTGCCTGACAGGCGCAGAGCTGAGAGGGACAGTCAGACCCGGGACTGACGAGGCCGCGCGCGGTGTACGGCAGGAGGAAGGGGACGAGCACGGGGTTTTCCTTTTCTTTTTTTGCGTTTCCTCTTCGTGAGAGAAGCCTGAGGCAGCCAGGGAGAGGGTCCCCAGGCCCCTGGCAGGGAGAGGGCAGCACCCTCCTCCCAGTCCCTCCCAGGAGGGGCAGCTGGCAGTGGGGCAAAGTGCCAGGGGCTCAGACGTAATACTCCTTGTCTTTGTTCTTCTTGGCCTTGCTCGGCGTCTTGGGAGCAGCCGGGGCCTTCTCTTTCACCACTGCCCCATTGCTCTGGGCCGAGTTACTGATGTAGTTCCGGCTCTGATCCACCTGGTAGGAGCCCTCGTCGCGATTGCGGTACTTGTACATGGCGTAGAGGAGGATGAGGATGCAGAGCGCCGCCGCCGCCACGATACCCACCACCATGCCCGTGGTGCTGCTGGACTCCCGGATCACCTCCACTGCGCCCGGCGGGCCCCGCTCCCCAGGCCCTGTGGGGTTGGCTGTGGGCAGATGGGGGAAGCCGGGGGCTGAGGTCACGCCAGGTCGCAGGGGAGGCGGCCTCCGCGGCTCAAAAGACGTGGGGGCCCCGGGCCCCAAGGGGGGGTTCTCCAGCAGGGGCTGAAGCGGGTCTCGGTGGTTCATTTTGCCCGCTGGCAGGTTGGGCGCCGGGGCGGAGGGGTCAAACAGCACCCCAGGGGCACCCGTTGCCCCATCTGTCCTGAGGTTGGGCCGGGGAGCGGGTTTTCGGGGTGACAGGAGGGTGGTGCGGTCCGTGACCAGGGGAAAGGTGGTATAAAAGTCCTCGTCGTCCGTAGGGGGGAGGCTGGAGTCAAAGACCTCCCCGGAGGCGAAGCCCGAGGCCTCGATGGGCTCCTCGCAGTCGCTGTCGTCCCGCTCGGCCTGGCACGGGCCCCCAGAGGGCGGGCGGCGCGCCGCGGGCGGGGGCAGCGTGTCTTGGGTGGCGCCCACGCCCGTGAGGAAGGGATAGAAGGTAGGGGGCGGGGGCACGAAGGGGGATCGGGTGGCCACGGGAGGGGGATCTAAGGAGTCCTCCGTGATAATGGGCAATATTAACTCTCCTCCTAGAACAAGAGAGAGAAGAGAAAAGAGAGGGCGTCAGCGAGGGCCAGGGCGCAGGCGGCCGGCACAGAGAGAGAAACAACAGCCTCACACACCCAAATCGGTTCCAATTGGCTTTGGCGGAGACTAGAGCGGGCCAGGCCCGCCCGCCAGCCGGCCGAGCACTGCGCTTTAAGCGGGCAGCGGCTCAGATGCCCTGGGCACCCCACGCACGGGCTCTGTGACTCTCTGGGTTTTGGTCTTTTGTTTGTCTTAAGAAATCAAAAGGAACAGAAAGGAAAGGAAATTGAAAAGAAACAGAAAAAAAAATTCTACTGGTTTAAGGCTTTAAAAACAGATACAACAGCAGCATTTAAACAAACCTAACGACAATATCTTTTAGGGTTTTTTTTTCTAGATTTTTCTCTTTTTTTTCTTTTTTTTTTTTTTTTTTTTTTTTTTTTTTGCTTTTTTTTTTAAAAAAGAAGATAGCATACCACGGAATTCAGGCAACTTACATCAACAAATAGGCCGTGTGATTTTAGCATGAAGAAAAAAATTACAAACAGAGCTGTGTAAGCGGGTTCTCCCGGAAAAAAATAAGAAAAAACAACTTTTCCGTACAACGTTTTCTGTCTATCTGCTCGGTATCTCCCTCCCTCACTCTCTACTCCCTGCGCATCCTGCATCCTCCTGAACTCTCTCTCCGCCCTCACTTGTCCCTCTCCCCCTCATTCAACACAAAGCTAAACTCTGCACAGGGCAGGCTGGGGCTGAGGAGCGGTTTCCACCACTTAGTGTCAGCATGTCAGGGAGGGAGGAGCAGTGGGCAGAAGGGCTAGGAGAGTAAGGATGTGACAGGCAGCCATGTAGGGATTGCTACATGGGTGAGAGGTCTTGGGAGGGGACGGCCATGGGATGGGGCTTGGAAGGCTAATTGCAGGGTGGCCACGGGAGAGGAGACATTGAAAGTGGGAGATGAGGTGGCCCATGAGGAAGAGTGGGCAGGGAGGAGTTGGACGCACTGGAGCGGGGTCCTGTCCCGTAGGACTCTGGGAGGAGTGGGGAGAAGCCATATGGAGGCAGGGATATGAGGGGACAAGAAGGGAGTGAGGGAAGTGGGCAGGGCCACATGGTTCCTGAGCGAATCCTAACTCCCCAACTTTCGTCTTCACCCTCCACCTCTTACCCCCACTGACTTCCCCCCTCCCCCTCCCCAGAACCCCCATGGGCCGCCAGGACCTGGCCAGGGCTTGACTGCCTCCAGCCCTCTTATTATTGTTAAAACAATAATAAAACAACAGAAAGAAGAAGAAAGCAAAAAAAGAAAAGAAAATACATACACAGCCATCTGGGAGGGAAGCACCTGCTAAATAGGGCCCATGGGAACGAATGGGCTTTGTGATGGGAGAATGGGTCTCTAGGTCTGTTAACTGTAGTCCCTTAGGCAGAAACTGCAATTCCCATCAGCCCCCAAAAGGTGAGAACTATAACTCCCATCAGTCTTTGGAGGAGTGTAGACCACAATTGCCATCAGCCAGTGGGTCAACAACTGTGACTCCCATCAGCCTCCTGGGCCTCCTCTCAAACCAAAATAGTGTAACCCCTGGTTTGGGGTAGAAGGGAGCTGGGGTGGGGCTCTAGGTGGCTAGTGGGAGGACTTGCTCCTCTTGCAGGTGCACCTCTGGGCCTGGCGAGGGCTGGAGGTTTCCTCTCTGGCTCTCTCTTCAGCATAGCCTAAGCCCTGCCCACATCTAACTGTCTCTCACTGATCTCTGCAGGGTGTGGTCTTCATCATGCCCAGAAGTCCCCCAGACCCTCGGTGGTAAAGCACCCCAGGGCCTCCACTGCCAAGTCCCTCCTGCCCCACTGCAGCCTGTTCAATCTGCGCATCTTGGCAATCTTCTCCTGCTCCCCACCCACCCACAGCCCTCTGCCTCTGCACTGAGTTCAAACTCTGGTGCCAACCCTCAGATCACAAGCTCCAGCAATGTTGCAGAGATGTCCTTGGCCACACCAGCCAGCCTGTGGCCAAGACCTTTCCATTGAACTTGAAGCCTTGCTGAGCTCCCCAGGCTGCTCTTCCCACCAGACTCCAATCTCCCCTGGGCAGGGGCTCACCTACACTCTAGATTTTGAAACCCCAGAGCTCCTGCCCCTCCAAAGGCTTGGCCACAATGAAAAACTTGGAGCCAAGAGCAAAGCAGCATGTTTTGTGGGGGTGGGACTATTCGATCCCAGCTTGTTGTGGATGAGAATGCTGAGGCCTGGGTGGGCAGGACTTTCCAAGGTCACCAGCATAGGTGCCCAGCAAGGTGAGTGAGGCTGGGGAAGGGCTAGATCTCATGAGGAGCCCAAGAAAGCCTAAGTCATCCTCCTGATGCCTCCAGGAATCTGCTGGGGCTGCTTGACTCTTGGCTTGGATGCTAATCTGGGAGTTCACACATAAACCTGTTCTGTCACTGAGTTCCTGTGTGACTGTGGGCAAGTTTCTTCCAGAGTCTGGGCCTCAGTTTCCTCATCTATAAAACTGGGGTATTGGGCTCCAGGCCCAGGATGAGGCCAAAGTTTGGCTCTCCTGGGACCTCTAGCCTTTGGATGATCAAGTATGTCTTCCTGTACCCACCTGAGACCCAGATGAGGAAAGCTGCACCCTGGTCCCCAGGTAAGGGGCAAACCCAGCTGTCAGCTCTCAGGGGGAGGGTTGGTGGCCTCTCAAACGGTGGTAACCTGGCAGGTTCCCTCTCTGCATGGACCCTGAGTGCCTCTGGGGTCCTCCCTGCTGGTCCATACCACCGGCCCTCTACCTGACCTTTGCCTTCTATTCAGAACCCCTCCCTGCTGACAGCTCAGTCTGGCCAAACACCTCTTCCAGGCAGAAGATGCTCCCTGCCTTGAGTGCCTCTGACATCACATCCCAATTCTGCCCTGGAAGCATGGCTTTGTACTCACTGCCAGGAAAGGGCCAGTGGCCCGGGTCTCATCTGTCTCCCTAGCCTGGCACAGAGCTGGGGCTCATTATGGTTTTCCAGGAGAAGGGGAACAATATTCCTCGGGCGTTTCCTCTGAGCCAGGCCGGGCTAGGTATCTAGGGAAGGGAGTGGGCGTCTCTCACAGGCCAGAGCAGCTGAGTTCTGAACACCCCGCCCCCTCCACCCTCTTAGGCAGCCGGCGCTGCTGAGAGCTCAACCTGGCAAACTAGCTAGCTCTACAAACTAGCTCCCACCCCAGCTCGCCACCTTCCATCTTAGACTGGCCCACCAGCTGCTGCTGGAAACCCCAGCATCAAGGCTTGGCCTAAGCTGGCTGGCCATAGCTGGGGCCCCAGCAAAGTGCCAGGCCCAGGGCACAGGACCAGACCAGGAGGCCCTTGCTGAAGCCACATCCTGCCCTAGAAGGGCTGACAGGCCAATCAGGGCACAGAGCTCGGCCCTCTACCAACCTGCTGTCCCCTAGCTGGGCAAGGACACGGGGGGCTTCAGGCCTTGGACTACAGACAAGTCTTGCCCAGCCTGAGCCCCCTACAACCGTTTGCCCCAGCTCAGCCCTTGGGACACACAGGCTCCTCAGGTCCCCCTTCTGCAGCTTTCCTCTGCCCCTAGGCTCCTCCCAGGACTGCTCATATTGGTCTCTTGCCCCTCCAACCCCAGTTGCTTTCCGGTCTCCGTATCTGGGTCCCAGCCCTGTCCCTGCATCCACAGCTTCTCTGGGGCTTCCCTGGGCCCTTCTCTGCCCAAGGCTTTGATGGCACCACCTCCTGAGGTGTCCTCCCCTCACCCACACCCCCACACTGCCATGATTCCTCCTCGATGCCTTCTTCTTATGGTAGCCCCTGTCTCCCACATGGCTTCCTCCCTGTTTCCTCTCAGTGCCCCATATCCCACTTCCTCTTCACGAGACAACAGGCTCTGGAAAACCCATGAGAACGCATGAGGACTTCCTGGGCTCACTTAACCCGGCCTAGGCTCTGCAGCAGTCAAGTCACACCTAACCTAGGTTGCTGGGCTTTCCCAGGTCACACACCAGTTCAGGAAGGATCAGAAGGGGCTGCCCTGGTGAGGAGACAGCAGGACCTGAAGGAGGAGAGAACCAGGCCCCTCAGAGACTCCTCTCTGCCAAAAGTCCAACCACTGCCCGTGGTGCTGGGCTTTGTGGGTGCAGACTCACAATGACTTATGGTCCAGTTCTACACCAAGGATGCATCCTGGAATGGGGTGCTCCTAGGAGCCAGCAGAGTCTGGTAGGACCCCAGGCAGCCTCCTGCCTTTCCCCCACTTCAGGCAGCTGCAGCATTTGGAAAATACTCACAGGTGCACACTTAACACAGATGCCACTGCCCACCCAACACTCCTCTGCATCCTAAGAAAAGCTAAATTTCTGTGCATATCAGTCCCACTTACTAGAGAATGCCATCCCTGACCAGGGATACCACCAGCCATTCCTAATCTCCCCTTCCTCCCCAACTCTCCTTCCTCTGGGGGCTGCTGGCCCAACATACTGAGGCCCTTCTGCCCTTAGGGCATAGAGGGCCCCTGACTGGAAATCTACTCAAGAACCCCATGAGTAGAGTAGGTGTGCCCAGCCCCAAAGAGAAGTCAGAACTGAGACTGCACGTGTCCGAGACTAAGCAGTGAGCTGGAGGCCCTGCTTAGGCTGTGAGGGGCAAGAAAGCCAGCAGCCTACAGGGCATTTCGTGGGGGTTAGAAAAGACAGTTCTATGTGGACATGACCCTGCGGTGTATGACTTCACAAACAGTACCTTTGTGCAAAATTGGAAAAAGGATTCTCTCCTCTCAATGGACACAGTCCTGTTTGGGTGCCCAGGACACACAGCTGAGCAAGCAGAGCCCTGGCCAGACGTCACCCCCTACTCGCCTGTGTAAGCAGAGGACAACCTGTGCCCTGTGTGTGTGGTGCCCTGAAGGACGGTACCCCACCTTACCCACAAGAACCAGTGCAACAGGGGCAGAAGCCAGGGTATTTCAAGGTAAGAAAAATATGGTATATTGTGGCATACACACAC